AAAAAAAAAAAAAAAAGAATTAGCTAAAAGGATGTTCCTAATTGTGTTATTATTAAGAATAGGCCTTGAGGGATAGCTCGGCGGTCTATGTGCCTCCTGGTAAGCCAAGGACCCAGATTTGATTCCTGGTACTGTATGCCATGCTGGACCTGGAACCCAAGGCAGCTACTGAAACTGGGCATGGTGGCACACACCTGTAATCCCAGTGCTGGGGAGGCTGAGACATGAAGACCATTATGAGTCTGAGCTGCATAGCCAAGATCCAAATAAATAAATGATTTTTAAAAAAAGATTAAGAGCAAATTAGCCAAGTGTGGTAGTATACAATTGTAATCCCAGCACTCAAGGGACTGAGGTAGGAGGACTGCTATGAGTTCTAGGCCAGCCTGGGCTACATAGTGAGTTTTTCTTTTTTGTATCAGGGATCAAACTCAGGACCTTGTGTTTGCCAGGTAGGTGCTTATGCCACTGAGCGATCTCCCTGCCCCCATAATGAGTTTAAAGTTAGTCTGACCTATGTAGGGAGACCCTGTCTCAAAAAAAAAAAAAAAAAAAAAAAAGTCTGACATTAAGGAATTAAAATACTATGCAAGCATGTAGAACAATGTTGTAAAGACAGGCATGGTGAGGAGGCAGTGAAGTAGCAGAAGTTGAGGCTGGAGGTTCAATATAAGTTTGAGGCCACCTTGGCTACACAGAGAGTTCAAGGCCAGCCTGAACTGCATAGTTAGACCCTGTCTCAAAACACCAAAAATAAATAAATAAAAACAAACAAATGACATATATCATATGTATGAATGATATTTTCTGGAAATATAAAAAAGACAAATTAATGATACACTGGATTGTTCCTCAGGATGTGACTGGCAAAATGCACACTGGAAAAATACAAAATAACCCATTTTCTTTAAGTAATAAAGTCTAAGGAACAAAGAAAGTTGGGGAAGGAGTTTTGATTTAGATAAAATAAGAAACTTACAAAGCCATTATCAACCAACTGCAGCCAAAAACCTCTTTGGATCTGGATTGAGGCAGTTAGAAAAAGCTAACATATACTAGGGAATCTGAACAAAGGCCGGGAACAGTACCAAGGGATTACTGCTCATTCATACTGACAACCTAGTGATTATGTTTTGTAGATATTTACTAATATATTTACATATGACATAATGTCTAGAATTTGACTTGATATAGGAGAGAAGTGGTGGGAGTATAAACGAGGCAGAACTGGTTACATATTAATCACTGGAATGAGGGACAGAGTTGTAACAGGAAGTGAGGAAAAAAAAAGAGGGGAAACTCCCCCAGGGAAGAGAGGGCACGCTACAGATCTGGGCTATTCCTACAGACTTGATCTGGCATGATAGGACCTTGTTAAATTGCCCAATAGGGGCTTGAACTTGCAATCCTTCTGCTTCAGCCTTTCAGAGTACTGGGATTACATGACTCTTGTATGTCAGTTCTTCAGACATATCAGGAAGTATATGAATAGCATCTTGCGTAATCAAAAAAATTACAAATTTAATTTTACTAAGGAATCATGAAGCTTCCTTCAAGTAATTTCATTTTATTATCATTATTTTTTTGTATTTTAGGGAAGGGCCTACAGGGTGTTCAGGGTCTCACTACTAGATGGGACTCACAGTGATCTGCCTGTTTACAGCCTCCCAAATGCCAGGATTACAGGCTAGAGCCACCACACCCAGTCTCAATTACTGTCTCAGTATGCCCCAGGGATGAACCACAGGAATGAACCCCTGGCCCACCTGCGCTTGCTTGCAGGTGCTATAATCTGCTGAGCTATTTGAGTAATTTTAAAAGTTCAACCAAAAGCAATGCATACTATACAGTTTATAAGTGCCACCTTCCAATTATTTCAAGTGTTTGGGTTAAATGCTGACCTAGAAGAGCATTAGATTGCCACTAATATCCACTGGATTCTAAGTCAGAAACTGGCTTCTCAGATGCTAAATCTGCAGATAAAACTAACCCAGGAGGGGTTGCAAACACTAATGATAGTTAAGCACAGATATCACATTAAAAATGACATTGCAATTAGGGAAAAATACAAATACAGAGAAAAGTAACTTGGAGTTGACATTTCATTAAATAAAAGATCTGAAAAAAACTGGAGGGAAAAATAGGACTGTTACCAAGAGAGGCTGGTCACAAAAGTGAGTCAGGGGCAATAGGAAGGAAGTCAATTCAAACAAAAACACACCAAACCCATAGATGAAAAAAAGTAACCTCAGTTTAGACAAGATATCATGTCTGCATCTTGTACTAGGATTAACTACTATGAAGACAACAATATGCAATGTATTAATTACTGTAACTGTCCTAATAATCTGTTTTGAAACTGTCTCTTTGCTATTTCTTTCTTAATAAAAATTAAAAAAAAAAAAAAAAGTAACCTGAGACAGGAAGAGAGAAAAAAAAGAAGAGCAATCTCCTCCAGGGAAGGGGATTGGAGGAGAGGGGAGGGGAGGGAAGAAAGGGGAGGGGAGGGGAGGTAAGAGAGGAGAGGGGAGGGATGCCACAGATCCAGGCTGTTCCTAAAGATTTGACTTGAGTGCTGGGGAGATAGCTCAGTGGCATAAACGCCATGCAAGCGCCAAGGTCCCGAGTTCAATCCCTGGTACAAGTCTGAGCAGCGTAGCAACTCTCTATACCAAATAAATAAGTAAAAGATTAAAAACTAATCTTTTTGATTCTAATAAAAAAGAATCGGGGCTGGTGAGATGGCTCAGTGGTCTAAAGCACCTACTTATTACAAGCTAAGCTAAGCAAAAACACAGGGACCGCGGTTCAATCCCCCAGCACCACATGCCAGCCAGCCCCGCCCCCCTGGTGGGCTGAGCTGGCCACACACACACACCCACACACACCCACACATGCAATAAATAAATAAATAAATAAAAAATAAAAAAGAATCAAAATATAAACTTGAGAAGTTTGTTTCTAGACTCTATCAAAAGAATAAGAAATAAAATGTACAGTCTAAAAAAAACTTGAAGGAAAATACTTGTAATAACAGAATAAAAAACCTCAAATGTATTCAATTCCTTCTAGTGGACTGTAATTACAGAAATCACTAGGGTTTTTTTGACAAATCTCTGTCATCTGCTCAATAATAGTGGAATAAATATTATCTGGAGGTGCCAAGGTTTTTTTTTTTTTTGAGACAGGTTCGCACTATGCAGCTCAGGCAGGCCTTAAATTCACTTTGTAGGCCAGGCTGGCCTCAGACTCACAAGGATCCTCCTGCCTCAGCCTCCCAAGTGCTGGGAATACAAGTGTGTACTACCACACTGTGTAGTGCCAAGTTCTTAAAATATTTATTAAATCCTACTCCAGCAGCTCATAACTCTTAAGCTCAAAACCCTAATCAGAAACCATTTATACAGGACTCTCCCTTGCTATCACAGAGGCCAAGTGCTTAATATTACTTTATTCAAAGAGCTCAAAGCTGTTCAGTGGGCATGAACCCAGGGCCTTTGCACTGGACTACATCCCCAGTCATTTTTTATGTTTTATTTTGAGAGGCTCTTGCTATAAAGTGCCCAAGCTGGGCTCAATCCTCTTGCCTCAAGCTGCTCAAAGCTTTAAAAATGTAACACACATCACTGTGACATTAGGAAAGAAAATAACCACTTCACAGTTGAGGAAAAAAGACCCAAAAAGCCAAATGTGGGCAGAAAATGTATCTGTTTTCAAGAGATAAACACAGCTAAGGACTAAATTATTTCACTGACAAAATTTCTCCTTTCAAAAACTCTATCACAGGGGCCAGGGAGATGGCTCAATACAATAAGCGCTTCCCTGGCAAGCGCAAGGGTCTGAGCTCAATCCCTGGTTCCACCAAAACGAAACAAAACAAAAAACTTAAGAAAAACTATCATGGGGGACCACCCACTTGGGGGTCCCCCATCTCTCTCTCTCGGACAGGAGATTTCTTTCCACAAACAAACTCTATCACAAGCTAGTGTTCAATATATTCTGACTCAGCCTAAGTAGCTGAGACTACAGGGATGCACTACCAAGACCAGGTTTTTTTAAACAGAAAATTAAGTCCTTTATAAAGTGGTAACACACATGCCTGTAATTCCAGCACTCAGGAGTCTAATGCAGGAGGATCCCTGGGAGTTTAAGGTCATCCTGGGCTACAAAGTGAGCTCACGGCCAGCCTGAACTGCACAGCAAGACTCTGTCTTGCAAACAAACAAACAACAACAAAAAGAAAAAAAAAAAAAAAAAAAAAGAAAAGAGAAAGAAACACCACAAATGTGGAAGGGAAAGAAGAATCTGTAGCTGGATGGGGGCCACAGACCTGGAAACATCTCTGAATTCATCTTCCTGACCATTTTCATATTCCAGATGAGGAAACTAAGGCCCAGAGAGGAGAAAGTTTTTGCTCACTGTTCCACTTTACCTCTACCCTGAAGTCAATCTCAAGTTCCTAAACAAGATTCAGCCACCCTGTGCTCAGGAGGTAAGACAGGAGGACTGTGAGTTCGAGGCTCGCCCGGGATACACAGTGAGTGCAATGGCACATGCCGATAATCCTTACTCTGGGAAGCTGAGATAAAGAGAATGACAAATTCAAGTCCAAGCTGGGACTTAACAGGACTGCCTCAAAATGAAAAGTAAAATTAAAAAATGGCTACAGGGCTGGCCAGATAACTTAGGGACTGGGTTTGATCCTAGTGTGGTGTGGTGTGCTGTGTTGTGCGCGCCATGCCAGCTCCATCCCGCGGGTGCACTGAGATGTTGACTGAGACTGGACGTGGTGGTGCATGTCTGTAATCCCAGCACTTGGGAGGCTGAAAAAAGAAGGATCACTAGGAGTGCAATCTGTGTAGTGAGACCCTGTACTAAATACATTTCGGGGGGAGAAAAAAAAAAGGGCTAGAATAGAGCTCTGTGTGAAGACCCTGGACTCAATCTACCATCCAGCAAAAAAATAAACATAAGACTCTATATTTAGATTTTTTTTTTTTCTTTTTCCGGAACCGGGGGTTGAACTCAGGCCTTTGCGCTTGCCAGGGAAGCACTTATTCCACTGAGCCATCTCCCTGGCCCCTTTTCATTTTTTTCACAGAACCGGGGTTGAACTCAGGCCTTTGCGCTTGCCAGGGAAGTGCTTATTCCACTGAGCCATCTCCCCGGCTCAAGATTCTATATTTAGAAAAGTAACTTTTCAGGGCATGGTGGCATGCGTTTGTGATCTCAGCACACAGAGGTCGAGGCAGGAGGATCACTATGAATTTGAGGCCACCCTGGGGTACACAGTGAGTTCAAGGCCAGCCTGGACTAACAGTGAGATACTATCTTTAAAAAAAAAAGAGAAAAAGAAAGAAAGAAAGAAAGAAAGAAAGAAAGAAAGAAAGAGAAAGAAAGAAAGAAAGAAAGAAAGAAAGAAAGAAAGAAAGAAAGAAAGAAAGAAAGAAAGAAAAGTAACTCTAATTGAACTCAGGATTTTGCGCTTGCCAGGCAGACGTTTATGCCACTGAGCTATCTCCCTGACCCTCTCTTATGGATTTTTTTTTTTAAGAGTGGGGCTACCTTATTATATTACATCAGAATATTCTTTTTACTCCAGAATATGCTATTTAGAATCAATCATTGTATCATATATATATATGGAAGAATTTCCTGGGGGACAGATGAATATTGAACAGCTATTTACAGCTTTCAAACATTCACCAGGTGGTCAGACATTCAGGGCTTGTGGCCCTCACACTTTCATAGTCTTTATGCTATCAAAATTAAATACCATAAAATTGAAACAAAAATACTGAAAAATGGAAAAAATATTATTTTGCACATACTTTTCATGAATCTTCAAGACTCGATGAACTATAGGAATCTCTCTTCCTTCTATCCTAAAAACAACAATTTCCCCTACTCGTATAGGATCTTCAACTCGATTTGTTAGAAAGAGAAGATCTCCTCTGTGAAATGCAGGCTCCATGCTGCCGCTGGAGGGTAAAGAACAAACAAGAAAGCAAGAGATTAAATTTATGCCCAAAGTTGACATCTAAGGTATCATCTTTATAGGAGAGGTGCTTTAACAACCACATCACCATAAATTGATCACATTATTCTCAACATACAGGCTCCTGAGAATCACAAACGACTTTTTAGATATTAGCCTTTGCTAAATTAGTTTCATGTCAAGCATTACTATTCAAAGGTGCTTAAATCTTGAAAAGGGCAGCGTTAGTATTCCTTAACCTTTGAAAATTTCAAATGACAAATAATGTAAGAGAATGAACTTTAAAAACACTGCCCTTCTCACTTCATCTGAAAACACCAAACATTTTCAAATATTCAAATGAGAACTGGCTCAGCTGCTTTTGCCATTTCTAAAGATACAGACTGAGATGACCTTATGGGTTCAAACCATTACAGAGGAAAGCAGCTCATCAGCAGTCAGTACAATGAGAAACCTTGAGTTATCAATTTATTTTTAAAACAGAAAGAAAAAAAATGACTAACAGAGATTTTTGCCTAAGAATTTCAGAAAACAGGATTCAATTTTTTTTAAGATGTAAGAAAATATATTTATTTCTTTTTCATGACAATACTATGATAAAATTGTTAAATACATGCACGTTTTAAAAACAAACATAAGTAACATCTTTAGAGTTATCAGCCAAGCATACTAGTTTCATATTTATGGTGTCCTAGTAATAGGTTACTTATATTCTATGTTTTTGCTATAACCATGTTTTCCAAAAGATAAGGATTCAATTTTATAGTAAAAAGTGAGACAAACACCTACAGAGCATCTTATCTCTCACCATTTCTACCCACACCAAGTTCTAAAAGATCCACTATGTGCCTGAATATAAACACTTTTATTGCATGAAAACAAAGCCCATCGGTATATTTTCAGGAACTCAGGTTCCAGTTTTTAAGCATAACAGCTTTAGTACAAGAAAATAGGCAGGAAATAAAATTAAAAACAGGATATTGTCATCAATGTACAAACATTCTTGTTTAAAGACTGTCATCCTTCTATGTAAGGGGATAACAGTGGACAGTGGTTCCTGAACTGCTAAGCATGGGAACAACCTGGGGAACTTAAAAACTCCATGCCAAATTTTTCCGTGAGGAACCAAAAGTGTCAATAAGGGGGCCAGGGAGATGGCTCAGTAGAATAAGCACTTGCCTGGCAAGCGCAAGGGCCTGAGTTCAATCCCTGGTTCCACCAAAAACAAACAAACAAACAAACAAACAAACAAACAAAACCCAAAACAACTGAATTCTACTTGGGCAAGAGATGTGCTTATGTGTATAAAGCACAAAAACAACACAAGGACTCCAAGTGGCAAACCAAACAAAATTAAGAGTGATCTGGGGAAAAGTAACTCGGGCTCATGGATACAGCAGCATGGTTCATGTCAAGTTCCAAAGCAACCTTCCTGGTAAGACCATTGGACACCAAATCTGGGTGATGCTGTATGCCTCAAGAATTTAAACTAATGGAAAATAAAAGTGCATTTGTGCTCCTGAAAACAAACAAACAGGGAAACCAGGTGTGGTGATACACACCTATGAGGCAAGAAGACCACGGAGAGTTCAAGGCCAGCCTGAACTATAGAATGAAATCCTGTCTCAAACAAAACAAAACAAAAAAAACAAAGATGAGTTACTCTGATTTCATCATCCATCTTACTGAGCATTTATTATATGCAAAATGCTATTTTAATTTTTTCTTCTTTTCTTGACAGTAATGAGCATCGAACTCAGAGGTGCCCTACCACTAGGCTACATTCCCAGCCTCTTCTTTGAGATAGGGTTTCACAAAGTTGCCCAGACTCTCCTCAAACTTGCCTTTCTCCTGCCTCAGCCTCCTCTTGTGCTAATTATCTTTATTTATTT